AGGAACATTAGTGTAGTTTTAAAACGCACGCAAATGGTCGCAAAGACCTTCATGTAACTAACTATTAAAACATCTCAAAATGTACAATGAAGTACATAGGATACAAGTAAACCACATGACATGTTTCAGACGTGATAAAATAGTTTTCTCAGGTAAGTTATGTGTACTTTATAGCTTCAAAAACACAGGCCTGGGAAGACGACATACACAGCATCTCGCTATGCTGTGTGAGAGTTGGAGACACAGGCTGGTAGAAATTGGCGTTTTGGAGGAGGCGTTCTCAAAATAGCATTTAACTTGCATTTCTAAAACAAATAAAACAAACAATTTCGTCAAATCTTGTTTCGGTGGATCAATGGCTAATCTATAAGAAAGCTGAAGTATTGATTAAAATGACACGTTCAATGTGAACATGTATCCCAGAAATCATCACGGAGAGCACTTCCGGTTCAAACACGTCTTCATCTTGTTGACGTGTCAATCAAACTGTACAGCAAATCGCCATGCGCAGAACGATATTTTTTTGGGACTTATTTTTTTTAGATAACTTTTTTTCCTTGGCAAATTTTGCTCAGAAAGGCCCAGTTGTCTGGTAAGAATGACAGCAGAAGAATGTATATTTTTCAAATATGGCCAAAAAAGTGACCTTTTTCCATGGTTTGACCTGTCATTGACCTCTAAATACTTGTGAAATCCTGGTATCATTTCAATATTTTGCCTATAGCTCATTAAAACCCCGGAGTCGAACTTCCACTATTTGTACCAAAAGACACCTGAAAATCCAGCTTTGCAGTGGGGGTAAAGACTTGAGGTTTAAAATAAAGGTAAATGTGTTTTAAAGTGCTTGTTTCTAGTAGTTTTAGCATAGATTTCAATGGGATGTCCTTATGCTGGTCCCTGCCCTATAGGAACTTAAGCCTCGGTCACAACTCGCCGTGCGTGCTTTTTGTCCGTACGTTTTTGTCGTGGCTACGTCTGCTACGTTTTTTCTGCAAACGTAGGGTGGCCGGCCGAGGGAGTACGTCACTCGCAAGGTGTACGCACGTGGTCTGCACGACACGCCTGACCGTCAGCGGTTGCGTGCATCGTACGTTGCGCAAGTGGTAAGTGAGTTGTACGTGCTTACAACGTACGATCTCTGTGCGATTGCCACGTTGCCGCGTACAGGCCGTACCTACACGTGCGGCGTGCGCACGATTTCCTTACTCACTCGCACGTTGTAAGTGCGTGCACCTCCTGCTAACTTCATCATCACTAGCCGCCCTGGTGTCTTCCGCGGCCCGTTTCTTTGGATCTTGTCTGGTAGACTTCTTCTGAGCCTTCCTGGGCATCTTGGAGACGAGTTGGCAGTCGCCCGTCAAGTCGTCTTTATATACTGTAGAAATAAGGTGCGTTGCACGTGCGTTGCACGTGCGGAGCACCTAGTATGGTGCACGTGTGTTCTGCGTGGTCATTGAGCAGGTCAACTGGGAAGTGAGGAGTAAGCACGGATGACGCAAGCACCGTGCGTGGCACTGACGTGCTTCGTGCGCTGTCCGTACAGCAATTGCACGTGAGAATAGTGAAGTTAGACTCACGGAGTCCGTACGTTGCACGCTCATAGGCTGTACGGGGCACGCGGGTCGCACGTACTCGCACGCACGTGTGGTAAATCCGCAGACCGCACGTAGAAAAAGTATTACATGCACTTAAGGTTCTACGGCGTGTCTGCGTGCTCCCAAATCCGTAGGATTCCGTACGGAGGCGGTACTCACCACGCACGGATGCCGTACGTTTGCCCACGTTTTTGCACGTAGACAGCACGCAGAAGCACGTACGGCGAGTTGTGACCGTCGCTTTAGGGTCTTCTGATTCTGTATCAAGTCTGGGTGTCAGCTGGGAAATAGAGCGGTAACGTGGCTTATCCGGTGGTAGGGTTGTCCACACGGGGCCTCCGCAGGACAAGTGGTTAATTATGTAATTGGGACGCAGGATCACGCACGTCACTGACAGATGAGGGAGACTATAGCCTACCGCAGGGCAGGCTTTCCACACATCTCCTCCTTCAAAGAATTTTCAACAACAGAAAACGAAATCAGAAAATAAGGCTGAGAATTATCTTGAAAGTTAATTTCTGTTGGTAGAAAGCATTATGAAGCAAATTTAAACTGTAATTTCCAACACAACAAATTGGACTCACCTAAATTTGTCTTTGTCAAGGAATGAGCAAAAATTTGTGTGAGTCCAATTTGTTGTGTTGGAAATTACAGTTTAAACTTGCTTCATAAGGCTGATAATTCTTTGGATATATCAGAACAACCTCTGCATATATCTACAAAAGAACAGGGACAGTTCTGATGGTGTTAAAGTATTAACTCCTAGGTCTTACTATATTAGTCCACATGACAGCAGAGTCTCACCCTACCCACCCTTTGAATGAGCAAACCTTTGTCAGAAGGGCATTCCTGACGTTACACTTGTACTCACAATTTGAGCCGGGACTATCATAAGTGTAAAAAAAAACCCAAATGGTTATATCTGGCTATTGATGGACAGAAATGATCATTTTTTTTTATTTATTTACTTCATAGGTCACCACAAGACAAGGCTCATAGGAGCCACTCAAAATGTTTTGGGTTACAGTACTGCCAGTGAGGACAGATATTTGTTGACCTTAGACTTGAAAAGTTTAAGGTTATACTCAAAAGGGAAACAATCACGGGGTAGCTTATTCCAAAGTGATGTTGTTCTGGGAAAGAAGCATGTGACAATCTAGAAGACCCTGCGAGCACACTGTAGGGGATGGAGAAGCCCAGTTATAGTTCCTTTCCCCTTGAAAACAGGTTTCGGTACATTCATTTTTTTCAATACTAAGTACTAGCTTTGAGGATTCATAGCTTATCATCTTGCGTCTCTTTGTTGTATTCTATGTCGCAAGGCATGGTTCAGGCAAATATGGCAAATAATGAGGAACATTTTACATCCTAGAGAAGCTTTGACAACTTCTAACATGTGTTATTCCGGCTAGGTATATAACTTTACATGTGTAACTCTTCTAGAAGCTCCCAAGATCTAGTCTTACTTGCCATGAGTGGCATAAGTTGGAGAAGGTCCAGTCTTATGAGACTAAGCGCTCACACATTAGAGATAGAGAGAGGAAAATACTAGAAACTGACTGTAAGCAAAAGATTCTGTAAATACTGTACAGAGGGAGCAGTGGAAGATGAAATGCATTTTATCTGTCAGTGTCCTCATTATGATTTTGAAAGAAAAAAAAGTTATTCAAATAAGTCGCCAATATTCCCCCAAGTTTTTCATATCTCAACAAACAACAAAAGACTATATTATTGCTGAAGTCTTCCAACCCATTTATTTTTCAAAGAGTCGGACAATTCATCCCCCACTGCCTCCTGAGAAGTCAAACCCCCTAATAGCATGGCAAGAATAGTTTAATAGAATAGAATAGCAGTTACCTTGTTCCTCTTTCCTGTTCATATATGGCATATCTACTGTTTATCCTGTATGACTTGTATACCAACGTTATTAGATTTAAGTAGAGATAGTAGGTTTGATAAGTATATCGTACACGTAGAACTTCATGTTAGCAAATAGTCTTATTTCATCACATTTTTCTTGTCAATGTCTGTTTGCAATTAGCCCTCGGGCATGAATTTGCAATAAACAACTCTAAACAACTCTATGTCGACATGGTTAGTCAGTACTTACACGGCAATCTTCCACAGGCAGCGTCGTACTCTAACGGTCCTGGGCTGGGGAATGGCGGGTAGTGGAAACAGTACATCCTGTCGTCAGATCCAAACACTCGCGAGACTTTGGTGGCGAGAACTCACAGCCGCAAATACTACTCGCATGTACTCGACGTAACTGCGGGAAAAGTACAATAGGATAAGCATCTTTATATGCTATACAGTATTAAACCATTATTATAATCTTTATCTAATAGTAATCTTTAGCATCTCTATGCATTCAGTACGTTTAATGACAAACTATTCTTCTTTTAACTTCCCAAAACCCTCAAATTTTGGAAAAGGTGGGACATTACATCTTCCATGGTTTACAGAAGAGAAGTCAAACCCTTCAGACATAGTTTTAGACATAGTTGTAGTTTTATGCTACCTTTATCGTGTAGGCTTAGTTATTTTATACCCTGTTTCATTGTTCTCTTATGTTTTGTAATTTGCAATTAGCCCCCAGGCACGAATTTGCAATAAACTTTTCAATGAAAAACGTTGTGACATTTCAGTATATGCAACTTGCTTTCGGTGCCTCTACATGATCAGGTAATACATGGCATCACATGCATTTGTCCCGGACCATTTCTCTTATTCTAGATCCTGTTGTTGTAGATGACAAGGCAGAAGACAAGGCAGACTTTCATAGGTTAATAGTGCTAAATTTGAGATGAATGTCTGACTCTCCTTCTGATACAAGGAACCACTGGCTGATATTAAACTGTATGACATCGACAAGACCACATTTAAACATTCTTTAAAAACGACAGAGAATGCACCTCTTGCAAACAAATTGGTTTACAGCAACTCTTTAGGAACTACCTGGAACTACCTGGTTACTTAAACATTCACAAGAACAAATGACACAAGTATGAAATAAAGCCAAGTCCTAAAGATACCCACAGTCAAAGTCGAGTGTGGAAAACGTAGAGTTGCCTTCAGGAGGTTTACCACAATATGAAAACAAGAAAAATAAAAACTAGTAGATAGAAAATACTTAGAAAGTTATTATCATCATCAAAAAGTACTTACCAAAAACTGTGATAAGAAACAGACAACAAATCAAAGGGATCTCTTATTCATGGACAATTCAAACAGTACCAGTTGAACATGTGCAGGGACGTTTCTGGCTTATCGACCTAAAGAATATTGCATGTTTTTTTACACATTTGTCGACATGCGTTCTTTTTTTGATAATGTCTAAATTCATGATCATTACATACATTGACCACTTGAAATGAAACTAACCTTATACAGTTCTGCAATGTTATGGCAGCAAACCTTACACGTCACATCCCCAACTGTGTTGATTATAACGTTTACATGTTTTCTCCAACATTATCCTATTGTGTGTTTGTTCTGTTATGGTTAGCCAGTGTCAGGCGTTGTGGTATCATTCATATTATGAAGTTTGAGGCGCTCTTCTTGAAAAAGACTTCTCTCTCTCCTTCGGTGTTTAACGGATATGAGATACATATTTTATCTTGCTGCCACTTTTCGGTAGATGTCAAGTTATGGAAGTAAATAGACCTAACACAAAGTACGTGGATGAAGGCTAGACATCCAGGCAAAACGATACGCCAAAAAGCAGTTACTCAAGCAACTGGATATGATTTTGGAAAATCCAAAATCATATCCAGTTGCTTGAGTAACTGCTTTTTGGCCTAACTCAAAGTAGTTAGTTTCCTGGACGGAAAACATTGTCTGCCAGATATTTTGTTGCAAAGCAGTCGATAATACATCACCATGATTGATGTACTTTTATCCATAACCAGGGGCAAAATGTGCCTCTTTCTATAGACAAAAATGAAACGACAGGCTATAGTAACATGAACACATTGCTTAAGATTTAAGATTTCAGGAAGTTTAAAGTGTACATGTTCATCTGGGCAGGGCTCGAAATTCATTTTTGGGAATAGGTGCACTGGTGCACCCAACCTAAAAATTTAGGTGCACAGAAAAATTTTTGGATGCACCAAACCTAATTACAGACCTTACTGCTCCTCTTCTGAGCTTGAATCTGAAATGGGAGCTAACTTCAAAATCTTGTACTTCAAACAAGTACTACAGCAAAGATTTTCTGAAACTTAGATGCCAAGAATATCAAGTATTACTGTATACATTTAATATGTACAAAAATACCTACAAAAATATTTGAGATTGAAAGAGAGATAGAGAGAATTTTGTTCTCTTGCCCAATTGTAAAAAGATGCCCTAGTCTTCATATGTCCTCGCTGCACAAAATAGATCGGTCATGAAAAATGATACTGCCTCCCCCCTTTAAGCGGTTAATAATTCCGCTTTTAATTGTGTCCCTTGTAGCTGGTCCCTGCCGAACTCGTGTCACTGGCTAATCAACTGGGACTTACGGGTCCTGCCCTGCCTCGGGCACCGACTACAATATTGCAGACGTGTCCTGGGACCCGCACAACGTGGAAAAAACAAATTCGCAAAAGCACGATATGTCACACATTTCTAGGGCTGATGACTTAGACAAATATTAGCGATATTAGTATTGAACAGAAAGAAGGTATAGGGATAATGTGAATTGTCTAAACGGGCACAATAGTCAAGAACAATAGACGTACGATTTCACGTAAATCCGAACACTTGCTCTATCTAGCACGTTGATCTCTACAGCTTCAATCTGTTAGAGCAATATCAGAGACAGAAACCAGCTAATCAGAATTACATACCTTTCCGTGTCCTACACACAAGCCCTGGTATTCCGTGCTTTAGGCAGACCGGGAGTGTGTGTGTGAAGCAGGCGGGGAGACCAGTACGTACCGTGGGGCGATGTGCGCTGCTGGCCCTCACAATGACCGCGGACCGCGGATAAAGACTCTCTCTAAGCCCCCTCGCTCCGAACCTGCCCGACTATTGGTTCCCACTCCAATCCGAACCAATGACTGCACCAATAATTTCATCACCCAAATTTTATTTGTCACTTGTGGCACGGGCCTATCGAAATGGCATTATTTGGGCCGCCTTAAAATAGATATATTGGACGATCAGCAAAGTTTGTAATCAAATATTTACAAGAAAGCCCAGTGGCGCAGCGGCCCGCTCGACTCCATACTGGGAGATGATTTCAAACCACTCTGGTGAGAGACAACAGGGAAGAGGGGGTGGGGGATCTCTACATACCTTGGCAATGGACGGTGTGAAAGTATCACAGGCAACATTACAAGGGTGATTACCTGCACGTGTAGGGTTCTTTCCGGGTCAGCGTGCGGAGATGGGTGGGCTGTTGTTACGGGCCGATGTGCCGATCAATCCCGGCGACCGTTCGATCGGCGCACGGTGAAAACTACTGAACGTACCTCACCCACAGAGTTAACCCTCGGCTCCAGTCTCGCCCCCTCCAGGCCTTGTTCTGACAGTTCCCCAGACTGGTAGTCTGATTGATGGTGAGAGGAGACCGACCTTGTTCCCAGATTAGAATCGTCCCGCAGTCTGCCGGCACAGCTACCTGCTGGTCCCCGTACAAATGAAAGCGGCTCGAGTAAAGCGATCCGCTGTCAATATTGCTTATGTTCGGAAGAACAGTCACGGGGGCAGCCATCCCACATAATACCTGCCGCGGATTAATTGTTTAATGAGGCTCAAACACAATTATAGACACCTTGTAATTATGTCATGATATTATAAATATTGCAATATCATGAGCTCCTTATTTAGAAACATAATGGGCCTGCAATGCCACTAAGCCATCACGCCCAAGGCGAGGCAAGGTCGTTACTGCGAAACTCAATTTGTAATGAAAACTGAAAAGTCATAATCGTATTAAGTTTCATCGAACATTTCGTATAAGTAATGACTTTTGCGAGCCGGAGGTATTAATCTTGTTTCCAGCCAGGTTATTTGTACTGGGTTCAGTCAGCAGCGTGAAGGGAAGAATGGCTTACAATGCGGTAATCGTGTCTGCGGCGCGCGTGAAGAAAAGTACTGCTTACATTGTCGTATTTCATCCCTCACCAGAGGAACACGGTGGAGGCTTTTCCACGGCAGCGACCAGAGCGGCTGTAACCAAGCGGAAACATGGCGAATTCATCACCACTAATCATTGTCGGGGACGGGAGACTAATAATACACGGGGCGTCTCTATTTGTTCTGATGATACATTATAGTCTACCGGGGCCAACTGCAAGCGCCGTAGGAGCTCAGGAACTGAAGGGTGTACTCTTCCTCTGAGCTTCTATGACTTCCCCACAGCCAGAAAGGTACCGTTTGTTAGATAGACTGAAACCAGGATGTATGGGGTAGATAATAAAGTAGACCGGGCACTGCGGAATGACAAATAATCGGTCTAATTGATGTACGACACTGCATCATCCCTTACCCAATCACCAATCTACTTTTAAATGTGCTTACGGTCTTCGATCTTTTTCGCTTTGAGCATGCCGAGGTGTTTCTCTGTATTTGATGTTTTGAATTTTCTATCATTTCCACTGATTGTTATTATAGTGCAGACGGTGACGCTCACCATCTGTCACAAATAGTTCTTAATTAACTACCGACAACGTTGTCGGTTGTATGGCGCGTGTACCTGTATCTGTATCTGTATAGCCGGTATAACCGCCTTTTGGCGTAACAAACCAGCTTCGCAGGCACGCGGCGCGGCGGCAGCTGGCTATATTACACCGATCGACTTGTTACACCTAACCCTTGAACTTCTAACTCTAGACATTGTTTAAAGCTATCTAATGACAATGCCCCTACTGTAGTTGGTGACAGTGAGTTCCACTTTGCGATACTTATAGGAAAGAATGAGTTTTTGAACACTTCAATCCTTGGTTAATAACTCTGGTACTTTAAGGCACGGCTATTTCAGGTAGACCTAAGTCTAAGACATCACACCGGCACCATGCTGAAGTAACGGGAATTCTTGAACAGTCTGGACATGATATAATCATATGCCACTTACGTATGTGTTATGCTACATTGAGTACACACATACTGTACACGTGCCTTTGTTTATTTACACGTAGTAATAGTAATTAGATATAGTAAAGCTCCGGTTCCGAGTTTTGTTTTGTCTCTGCAATGCCAGTGGACAAGAGTGAACAGTTATGATCCTGGCCCATATTTCCTACATATATTTTGTCCATTTGTTTAATACTTTAAAAACCAATGATAGCCATAGTGACCCCAAAATACACAAAACAAACCGTAAACATACACTTTACATACAAAGAAGCCAAACGTAACGTTGGCAAGCTAATATTGTCATGGATCTTTCCATTTGTTACCCTTTTCGTGACAATTTCCTTGTATGTCAGTGTTTTGTCTGCTTATCTATTTGTTTGCTTGCTTTTCAAATTACAGACGCCACACCAGACTAGCCATTGCTTCTTTACATTTGCTTTATTAAGTATATGCATGTTGTCTACACATTTCTCTTTGTCTCCTCTTTCCAGTCTCTTGATATCTCAAACTCAGAATTAGTTACATATTCATGTATAAACTAGAGAAATAACATTTGCAAAGCAAATGCATAATGTTTACCTTCGGACATGGTCTGCTCTGATAATTCTTACTTACTTACTTACTTTATTTGTTTATTTATTCATTCATTCATCTCAAACACATTCACATACATGTACTACTAGTATATGGTGACAGGAGCAGAGCAGACATTATGTAACCAACACCAGTCACCATGGTGACAGACGTCAACAAATCATGTCATTGGTCAGGTCAGAGGTCACTGTTTGGAGAAGAAGAAGAAGAGGAAGAAACTGAGTAAAACAATATGTTTTCCTTCGGTAATCATAATAATTGGTAATAACGTCAGTCATGTAGTTCGTTTTCCTGAAGTAGTTAAAAACTTTACAACTATTGAATCAGGGGTACATCAGTATATATGTTAACAAATGGGAGACAATTGGACACCGAAATAAACATTTTCCGTGCAGAAATCTTTAAAGACATCTAATGCAATTTCAGAGTGGGATGAGAAAATATCTGGATTAGGAAATCTGTCTGATGTTGACATTTATTATGTTTACCGAAGGAAAACATATTGTTTTTACTCAGTTTCTTCCTCTTCTTCTTCTCGAAACAGTGACCTCTAACCTGACCAATGACATGATTTGTTGACGTCTGTCACCATGGTGACTGGTGCTGGTTACATAATGTTACAATTTAACGGTCTGCTCTGCTCCTGTCACCATATACTAGTAGTACATGTATGTGAATGTGTTTGAGATGAATAAATAAATAAATAAATAAAGTAAGAAGTAACAGAGCAGACCATGTCCGAAGGTAAACATTATGCATTTGCTTTGCAAAAGTTACTTCTCTAGTTGTCATTTCGTAGCACATCATTTCTTACCTGAAGTGTTTGAAAAAGCCCAAAGCCCCAAAACAAGCTACGCTGTATCTTGGTGGGGGGGGGGCATAAATATATACAAATCAAGCAGCCGTTTTCCGTCAGCGACATCGCCTGTTTGCTTCATAGATATGATGCAATGGGACAGGGTTGATTTAACGTACTACATGAAAAGAAAGACCAGAAAATTAAATTGAATTTGAAAATCAAGTTTTGCTGCCCTGAAACTACATTGGATGCCTTCAAGGCAAAACGGTTCGTTCCCGACATGCCTTATGGGCGGCAGACTAGAGGCGACTCGCTGCTGAGCAGCCCGACCCACCAAAGATGCAGCAGAAAGGATATAATCCACTTAACGTCCATTTCAAACCGAATGTACGGGCGGGTACGACATGTTCCTACCAACACCTGGGTACCGGGACAACCGCCTGCCCTCATGTAACAACCCCATACTGAACAATCATTATGACGCCTCATTATTTGCTCAATGAGAACTTATTAATATCTGCTTATGCTCATGGAATTATATCTTTTGTGAAAGATAGAAGTATATATGCGTCTGCATGATGGGTCAAGCGTGATGTCTCAGAGGATACCGGATCCGAACATGCTAGATTGAGCACCTAGTGGATTGGTATTGTTTGCTATAGTAATGTCTACTTTTCGGACTTAGTGGAAGACAAAACTTCTGTCCGTGGTTACCACATGCAACGCTCGTGTTTGCCCGCACACAGTGACTTTCTCCTGCCGTCCGAACCGTTCTGTGCAGCCGCCCGTGTGCTGCAGGCCCGTCTGTGGTAGAGAGAAGCGGACCCCGGCCCGGTCTGTGCAGTGGAAGAAACCCGATAATACAGTGGAGGAATCCGACCGCACTGCCGTGCCGTATCGCTAATGTAATACACCATCCATCATAATTGATGATAGCGAATGAGATTATTCAATTATCCCGTGTTATAATATAAACCCTCTCAGCATAACCGAATTAGGATTATCAAAATCGCTGCACCTGTGACCCCGCATTATGTTGCAGGATGTATCACGCCATGCAGCATTACGGGCGTGATTGGAGCACCAAATCGGGGATAATGGGGGAGGGGGCCGCCAAATCGGCTCGTAAAAGCCAATCCCTGTACATTCCGCTGCAGCAAATTAAATCGGTGGTAAAACTACAACAAAGAGCCTTGCCACAATTATTGGACTCGCCGAAACCATACGATTTTTCTGCTGTCCGATTCCACACGCGGACCCACGCATCTTCGTAAAGAACACATTACTGTTAAGATGGCAGTGTGTTTTTATTAAAGAACAGCATAAAGTAAGGTTCAGCTTGTGTAGTCGACTTTTCACGTGTTGGTCACTATTCTCTATTCTACCGTACTGAATTATAAAACCCGTACCACTGCGTAGTTTTGAAACAACTCATACCGGCATTGTCAGCTGCTGTGTTATTTTTCGTGCTGGGAAGTGGCCCGGAACAAGCTCACCCTCATCGATTTCTTACAGGCTGTCAAGTGACATATAATCAATAGAGCAGCAATGCCCTTGTCAATTTTACCCAGCCGGATTATTATTGACATAAAGCCAATATGGAAAAGCGCTTTCTTAATTTTCCGGCATGTTCCGCCATGTTGCCTCCCCGTGCGCCTACATGCCGATCATCTATTAAAGTCTGCGCCAATTTAGAAGCGCTGGGCCCGCTAGAGACCACAGGACCGCGCCTGGTCACAACTCAACAGTCTCAACAACATAGGCATACTAGGAAAAATGGACAGTATTTTTAATTTAATGCGAGGCAAGTATATGAAGACATCATTGGTTGTTGTGGTTATTACAATGTTGTGCCAGATAACATCCTTCTTACACCACACACTACTGTCGTCTGTCCATTTCTAGACAATTAACTTAATTCCTTTCGTCATTTCCATCTTCAACTAAGATGTTGACCATGTTCAATCGAACACAAAACCATCTTAAATCTCACTTCCAGCCTACTTTGGCCAAACGCCAGATTCACAAAATCCTGGCTTTTATGTGCCAGTTCGAAATGTACGGCTCCAATTTCTCCAAATTGGAAACAGTAAACCGCTGTAAAGAACGTGAACAATAGGAAGCTGCCTGTGATCCCGGAGACTAGCCTGCCGC